GGGGGGGAGAATTTGGGAAGGTTTGGGGGTCCCTGTGGGGCGCTGACTCCCTGCTTCTCCCACAGAAAGTCAACTGCGTCCAGTTCAATGAGGAGGCCACCATCATCGTGTCCGGTAAGGGAGTGGTCCTGGGGGGTCCTGGCAGCACTAGAGACCCCCCCCGACACCCCCTTTTCCCCCTCTGACACCCCCTTTTCCCCTCTGACACCCCCTTTTTCCCCCCTCCAGGCTCCATCGACTCCACCGTCCGCTGCTGGGACTGTCGCTCCCGTCGCCCCGACCCCGTCCAGGTCCTGGACGAGGCCAAGGACGGTGTCTCCAGCGTGAAGGTCTCCGACCACGAGATCCTCTCGGGGTGAGGGACAGGGACACGTTTGGGGGGTCAGGGACACACCTGGGGGGGTCGGGGACCCCCAGGATCATAACCCCCCCAGCGCTGACACCCCCTTCTCTCCGCAGCTCCGTGGACGGTCGCGTCCGACGCTACGACCTGCGCGCCGGCCAGCTCTTCTCTGACTACATAGGGAGTGAGTGAGGGGGTGCAGGACGCCCCTGGGGGGTGCCCCAAGGTCTGGGGGGGCTCCTGGGCCCCCCACAAGCCCCCCTCCATCCCCCCACAGGCCCCATCACCAGCGTTTGCTTCAGCAAGGACGGGCAGTGCGCCCTGGCCGCCAGCCTGGACTCCACCCTGCGCCTGCTGGACAAGGAGACAGGGGAGCTGCTGGGCGAGTACGAGCCCCCTCCCCACAGTCCCATGGCCCTTTTTGGGGGGGGGGTTCCACACCTCACCCCGTCCTTGTCCCCCCCAGGTACACGGGCCACCGCAGCACCTCGTACCGGCTGGACTGCGTCCTGAGCGAGCAGGACACCCACGTGGGCAGCGCCTCCGAGGACGGACACGTTTATTTCTGGGACCTGGTGGAGGTGAGTGGGTAAAGAGGTGGGGAGGGGGGGTCAACCCCATGATTTGGGGGTCCCGGGGACCCCCCCTCAACATCCTCACGTGTCCCCCCAGGGCTCGCTGGCGCTCAGCCTGGCCGTGGGCCGCAGCGTGGTGCAGTCCCTCTCCTTCCACCCCACACTGCCCTGCCTGCTGGCTGCCACCCAGGGCCAGCTCCAGCTCTGGAGGGAGGACAGTTTCCAGCCCGAGGGGGACCCCGACACGTGAGGGGGAATTTTGGGGGGCCCCCCACTTCCCTGCACCCCCTCCTCTTCCAAGGAATAAACCCCTGGCGTGGAGAAATTACGGAGCTTTATTGGGAGCAGCTTCAAATAAATACAAGCGCTGGGGAGGAGGCAGATGGAACAGGGGGGTTTGGGGGGGACAGACAGACGGTCGTGGGGGGGTCGGGGACAGACAGACGGCCGTGGGGGGGTCCCAGACGGGTGGACGGTGCCGGGGGGGGGTCCCAGCTCCCCCACTCCCCCCAGTCTCCTCCCTCTCTCCTCTGCGCACGCTGCCATTTGGGGCGCAGAGCCTGGGGATGTTGGGATGGGAGGCCCTGCAGAGAAACTAGGGGCTCGGCACCCCCAAAGTAGGGGTTCAGCCCCCCCTAAAGCGGGGTCTCACCCCTCCTAAGGTGGGGGGGGGCTCGGTTTCCCCCAGGGACACCCTCAGTCCCCTGTTGTCCCCACGGGAAACGCGTCGGCTTTTTGGGCGAACGTCTCCGCCACCAGCAGCGGAAAGACCAGGGAGGCGTCGGCGTAAACCTGGGTGCAAGGAAACGGGGGGTGAAGGTGGGGGAACCCCACCCTGGGCACCCCAAAATCCCCCTCCCAAGACCCCCCCAAGGTCTCACCTTGACGGGGGTGGCGTCCATCCGGATCTTGCCCCAGGACACGGCCTCGTCCGGCCGCGCTCCCGAGTCGGAGCCGTCAAACTCCTGCGCCGTGTTGACGTAGACGGAGAAATCGGCCCCGTTCCTCTGCGGGGGCCAGGAACAGGGTGAGCCCCCCCCCCCC